ATTCTCCATTACGTACAATCGATCTATCGATTGATCAGTCGATCGATCGTTGGTTGATTTGTTCGGTGCTTTTCCATTGAAAGTATATTTAGCAAGTTTTAAAAAAATAAAAATATTAATAAAAACAAAGTTAAGAAAAAAAACCAGTTTGCAATAAATTCGATATCATTTAAATGTTTTTTTTTTATTTTGTTTCAAATACAAAAGCAATCTTTTGTTGTTGGTTTTGTATTTTACGATTTTATAATTTTATATGTTTTGCTTTCGAATACTCAAACAAATTTGTATCTAAAAACTTAAGTACCAAAACAAAAGTCTTGCTACTACCAAGATAGAGAAACACTAACTAAGCTGCGATCTATTCGAGCTGGAAAGCTTTTCCGAGCAAACCAAAACAAGGGTAGAGAGTAAACCTAGAGCTCATTGTTGTAGTTTGTTTGTTCTAAGAGTGATGGCATCGTTGTTCTAAGTTCTGTTCTGTTGTGTATCTTTTTCACAGTGGGTTTTTCTTTACAGTTTGTATTGAAGCTTTTAGCGTCATTATCTCAGCAGTATTGTGTTTACAGCAGTTGTCTAATATTGATTCAAGCTATTTACATAAATGAGTTAGCTGAAACCTATCAGCCGCTAAATTAAAACGATCGAACGATCTCTGCTCTGAGAGAGATAAGCAAGTGTGGAAAACGAAAGAGCAGCTATTGAAAAATATATAAAATATTTTGATTATTTTAGAACTAATATAGACGGTTTAAGCTTTAGTACGAGCTATGCCGGCGTGGAGTGCAAGGTTAAACGAATTTCTTTTGGATACCAAGGTTAAAAAATAAATATTTTATTTTAACTAATTTGGGTACGTTTTAAGGCGCCAAAAGTAGTGATTAGAAAAATATTTAACATTAAATAAAAAGCGCCTTTTTCAATTTAAGATAAAAAAAATATTTTTAAGTTCAATATTAAAAAGAAATATAACAAAAAATTAAGCGAAATAATTATTGCAAATAAAATATTATTATAAAAATGATATAAAAAAGTGTTTTTAAAAATTTGAGTTTTAAAAAAAAATCAATTTACAAAAGTTTTGTTTTAGAATGTGTAAAAAAAAATATGATATTAAATATCTGACTAATGAATACAAAAAAATTTCAATATATATAAGAGAAGAAAAAAAATTACAAATCAAATTTGGTCAAATAATAAAAAAAATCAATGCGAAGAAAAGTTAACAAACAAATGATATATTTAACCAAAGAAAATATAATTAATAAAATGAAAGATATATGTATTTAAAATATTTAAATAAATTATTATAACTTAAAATTTTGACTTGAAGTTCTTTTTTGTTATTTAAATCCAAAATTAAATCTACAGAAAATACAAAAAATCTTCAAATTTGAACAATTCGACTTGAAGTGAGTGAAAAATATCTGAGACTTGATAATTAAAGTGCGCTTGAAAAAATAAAAAATAAAAAATGAAAATAACTTTAAAAAATATATAAAATTACAAAACAGATATATAAATCGCTATTAATTAATTTAAAAGAATTGAAAAAAATTTCTAGATAAAAACAAAATAAATGTGTATTAATAAAAATATTAATAATAATAATTAATAATTAATTAATAAACACAAGTACATATTTGTTAAAATATAAAAGAAAACATAAATGTTTATATATATTTGCTATATTTTGATATATTCAAGGTATGCAGATGTATTAAAAATTAAAAATATTGTGCTACTACTACTGACATTCTCTGCTCCTCACAGAAAATAAAAAGATTATGTGAAAAAATATTGATTAAAAAATAAATTAGTTTTTGTGAATTTTTTTAAAAAGTTTTCAATATATTTTTATACTGATTAAAACTTATATTAATAAAAATAAAAATCGAAACATTACACAATTTTTGTCTAGTAATTTTAAATAGATCAGTAAAATCTTTCGAATTAATATTTTTTTGATTTTTTATTGATTTTTTTTCCGGCAATACAAATCTTTTAAAATATATCAAAAATATTAACTTGATTAGTTAAAATACTTTTATTTACTTAAATTATTCATATATACTCATTTATTGAAATTAAATGAGTTTTCTTTAGTGAAACTAATTATAATATTTAAAGGGTTAGTTCAAAACCTCTATAAATAGAAAAAAAAAATAACTCATACACTACTACAATACAACACACTAATATTGATCAAATTTATTTATTTATAATAAGTTCGGCTTATATATATTATTTTTTAATAAACTGTACCAAAGCAATTATAATTTTAATACTTTCAATTATTTTAATACCGTGATTAAAAAGATATCAATAAAATTACTAAATATTTTACTTGATTAGCGTTTAATACGCTAAAATGATGAATAATATTCATATAATATAGCAATAAAAATATTTAATTAAAATTTGTAATAGAATAACTAAAAACTTAATAAATTGAAAATAAAAAAAATTTATCGTCTTATAAAAAAATAAATCACAATAATAAAAAAAAAAGATTTTTTTCTGATTTTTTTAAAAATGCATGAATATATACAATTATAAAGCTACTATATTGAGTTAATTTTCATAAGTAATTTTTTTTTTATCAGAGTTGAATTGGTTTATTTGGAAATATAGTTTTAATAGTTCAAATTTAAAATTGTGTTCTATAACAATTGTTGTAAATGGAAAGATTATCAAAAATCATCTCTTTCATTTGATCTATGGTAATGAGCGTTTTGTTATGAGATAATTTCTGAAAATTTAACATCAATGAAAAATTTATTTAATATACGAAGTATTATTTCTTATCTTCAAATATAGTATTAACCGACTCAAAATGTTATGCCTTGAGAAAAAAAAATAGTTTCAAACTAAATGACCGACAAAATTAATACAAAATATTTATTAGTAATAGTTGTTTTGTACTTATTTTAATTTCGTATTAAAATGATAACATTAATATATTAAAATTATCAACTAAATATATACTTATGATAATGTTGTCAATTCTGACACAACTAAATTTTTAGGAAACTACTATGATGAATACTTTAAAAAATAATATTCAACAATATAAATAAAATATTTAATTAAAATAATTATTCTATTATTAAAACTTTATTTTATTAATGAAAATATTTCATAAAAAATATTTTATTTAATTGAAATGAATTTTTTATTTATTATTATAATAAATTATTGTTATTATTATATTACTATGACAATATAAATAAATAAAATATAGCACAAAAATTATATAAAGAACGACATTAAATAATTATTTTAATTATTAATTTGTTTTAATAAATTTCTGAACTGTTTGTATTAAAAAATTATATTAAAATAATTATTATAATTAATTATTATACGGCCCTATACTCCTCCTAGGACTTAAAGGATTAAATATGTATATAATTAATTATTATAAGTAACAAAAATATATATAATTTAATAAAATTAGAGAGAAATAGTATATATACAAAAATGTTCTGCTAAAAATATTAACATATTAAAAAATGTTAACATTATATTATACTCAGAGATTATGTATGTGTATATAACACATACATATAAAGCATTAAACATATACGCACTTCTTATTCATTCAATAGTTTAATTACTTATAAATACCTTAAAGGTATGTGCTCTCCAACAGTAGCAAAGTTCACAATATTAATGGTAATTAAATTATAAACGATAATTTATTATAATAAAAAAAAAAATTAGAAAACAAAAAAAAAAAATTAAATACATATTTCTTTTCATTATGGCGCCAAAAGGTTTTAATCCGTAATTAAAAAATTAACGCCTTAAGAATTGTTTTGATTCAATTTTATTTGATGATATGTCAAGGCAATCAGCTCTTAAACTACAATAAAATGAATAATATTTTAAATCTTATCCATATATAAGATATCAAATGATTAGACTTAAGCCACAATATTTATAACATTTGAAATTAAAATTATGGACACAAAGTGAATTTTACATAGTAAACCTACTTCAGTAGTTTCATTCACAACTAGATATAATAACAAATAAAGACAAATAATTATAAAAAATATCATTTAAATAAAAATTAATAAAAGTTTTCTAAAAAACTAAATATATATATATAAAACCGCAATTAATATATAATATTATAAGCACATATATATGAACTAATAGTAAAAAAAATTCTTAACGAAAGTGTTTCTGGAGCGAGTATGTGATAACATTATAGTATATATAATATATACATAAATAAATATTTTAATATTATATTAACATATAAATTTTATATCGTATTTAATGCATTTATAAAATATTTATAAAATAATATATATTATAATTTCATAGTATATTAATATTTATGTAATGATAGAGTTAGTCATTTTATTTAACTTTTGATATTTTTTTTGAATAAATTGAAATGATTTATTCTAGTCTTAAAAGAAATTATTATTAAATATTACGTTTTTCTTACTTCAGACTTTACTTAAAGTAATTTGCTTCTTAAGTGATTTAATTTGAAGTAAAGCATGAAGTCTTCAGAAACAGAAGTGCTCTTCAAGATGCTCGAAAACATCTCAAACAAAATTATTTGGTTATTAATAAATGATGATCGGTAAACGTCAGAATGTTAAAAATAAATTTAAATCATTAAGAAATAAATAAAATTGTAGTGTAAAACTTGTGTGAAGCTAAGGCAATTAAATGAGAGAAACATAAATTATAAATAATATAAAATACAATTAAAAAACTGACTCTCCGTGATTTTAGCAATTGAAGTAAAAATATGACATAAACTTAGAAAAATGTTGAAATAAAAACTGAAATTAAATGAAAATTTAATTAGTTAGATTAAATCAAAATAAAATTAAACTATAACTTATAATAATATATTTTTAAGTTTAACATATAAATTTAAATCTCCTCCATTTAATTTATAAGCTTTTATTACTATATTAAATTTAAACAAAATTACATTTTTAAACCTAAACCTTTTATTCATATATTTACAGATGTCTGAATTGGGCTGCAGTACAATATCCGCAACACCGACTGATTTTAAAGTGGGTGAAGCAGTAACGCATATGCATTTCCAAACACTCGATCCATTTAATATTTATGCTGATAATTTTGATTTATCATTGCTACCTCAAGATTGTGCTACATCCAACGAAAACATACCCACCATTGTTTATCAATATACAGGATTAACGCCAACGACCACACCAACACCAGAAATTAAAGTTGAGCATACCTGGCCCACCAATACAATAACTGATATTAAGCAAGAACAAAATTATTTAACAAATTACGAACAACAAACACAACAACAACAATTTACAAAAACATCAAATCAGCTTATACCACCGCCACCTTATCCACACATATATCCTACACCGCAATCGAGTCCCGCACAATCGGACTACGCTTTTCCACATACACCTTTCAACAGTTGTTACGAATCTTTAAGCTCATCGCGTACATCACTCTTTTCATCATCGCCTTGTCCATCAATTGATACTAGCGCTATCAAGCAAGAGTTACATATACTACCACCTTCGCCACCAGAATCAAATTGTGAAGCTCCTTCTCCACAGTCTACCACATCCAACGCGGATATTAAAACTGAACCTTTTGATACTGAGACTGAATCTCTAATCGATTTAAACACTTACTTGAGCAGTGCAAACCAATCGCAACCTTCTGATCAAGCCAAACTGCAACAACAAGATCATCAAGTGTTGCGTGAATATTTGGTTGACGATTCATTTCAGAGAAAACACAATTTGAAGCCTTTGGCTCTGGAGTCGTTTATTGGTGGCCTCGAAGAGGTACGCAGCGATATTGATTCAGTAATATCGTTAGCTTTGGATCATGCTAAACGTGAAGTTGATGAAATTTGCGCTAAATTGCAAATATCGAAAGGTAACACAATTACTAATTTTAATAAAATTAATTAAATTTATTAACACGAACTATATAATTAAAAAATATTTTATTTAATTTTAAGATCCAAACACTTGGTCAGCGACTCAAGTACATTCTTGGCTACGATCCACCATTGCTCAATACAAATTGCAACAGATCGATAATTTGGAAACGATATTCATTGAAAACGGTTCGGCCTTGGTATTACTCAGCGAAGAAGAATTTATGCGCAGAGTGCCAGAGGTGAGTCTTTTAGTATTTATATGAATTGTTTTTTTTGTTTTTTTTGAAAATATTAAACTGGTTTTCATATACAGGGTGATACTAAGTTATAAGTAATGCTTTAAGTATATGAAATTTGCAAAAGTTATTATGTTTAAACCGCAGTCATCTTTTAAGTATAAAAATATCATATAACCGTAAAATTTTTATTCATATTTTGTTTCTAATTTTCATCGAGATTCTAATATATTTATTTAATGAAATTTCACTATTTTAATATTTTATTAAATTACTACAATACTGTTATGGGTTCTACTAGTAAAACTCCTTTTATCTACTAACTAATAAAAAAGGTTTAGTACAAACTTTTGTAAACAATTTTTCGAAGTAAGAAATAAAACTACTAAATAAAAATTGGAAATAAATTAAGAATTCTAAAAAATTTCGTTATATATGTATATATATAAGAGACTCTTTACAATTAATTTAAAATTAATATTTCATTTTGCTCGTGCATACAGTCAGTGCTGAGCTTTGCTTGAGTTTACATTGAATTAACAGCAGCCAAAGTGCTGTGTAACAGCTCTAAGAATGAGCAATAAAAGAAGAAACAAATAAAGCACCAACTAACAGCATATAAAACTGATAAAATGAAAAAAATAACAAAAAATAAATAAAATAAGAAAAATTGACAGCTAACAGCATGTAAAACGGAAAAAATGGAACTAAAAGCTGAAAAACAAAATAAAATATAATTAAAAGTGTAAGCTCACAGCATGTGAAATGAAAAACAAAAGAAAAACAACCAAAAAAAAATAAGAAAAAGGTAGCATCTAACAATTATGCGCTGTGAAAAATTTAAACCAAAAACAACAACAATAATATAAAATATAAAAAAAATGACAGTTAATAGCACTAATAAATAAATGCACATCATAAAAAATTTCTGTTGAAAAGCTCTTTTTCGATATTTTTAATATGCATTTTCTTTATACAATCAAGGGGTAGCTAAAAGCACCCTGGAAAGTAAAAAGTTGAAGTTCAATTGAGGTGACGTTAATTGAAATTCACCTCAACTGATTGAACAAAAGCTTGCAGATCATTCAATTTCCTTAATTTTTTTTTTTTCTTTTTTATTCTTTAAACAATATAAAGCATGTCAAATAAACGCAAAATGAAATCAAATTTATTTAATTTTTTAATGGAATTAATTTCAATAAAAATAATTGTAGTTAAAAATTCATGTTACTTAAAAAACTTTAAAAATAAATCCAAACAAAAGCGTACTTAAAACTGCGACACTTTAACAAAACACAACAATCAATAAAAATCGAAATTCAAAATTCAAAAAAAAAAAAAAAGGAAATAATATATAAATAAGTTGATTATAAACAAAATAAAAAATCGAAAAAAATAAATAGAAGCAAAAATGTTATAACATTATGAACCATATTTGAACAAAGACCAAATCGATTACCAAAGCCCAAATTCCATGCAAAACAAATGAATTGCAAAATCGAGCACAGTCGGTAAAATTGAAATTCGCATAAAACAAGTTTCGTAACTGGCGTTGACGTCATTTTCATTGTATCCAAGACGACGACGACGCAGCTCTCAATACTCAGTCAGTTAGTTATAAAGTTTACAAAAGCAATCAAGTCTTAAACTGAACGCATAACAAATTTATAATAGCAACAACAACAACAACAACAATTCACTAACAACAAAGCACAGTAACCATAATAATAACAACAACCATATTACAACAACAAAAATAGCAACATCAATAACAATCACCAATAAGCTTTACCTATAACCAGAAATGCTGCAAAGCATATCGCAACGCAAAGCTACCAATTAGCAAAAGCTTAAGACTATTTTTTTTCAAAATAAAAGCGTGACTAGAAGCGGCTTTGCAAAGCAATACAAATATGTTATGCGTTTTTTTCTTTTTACTTGGCTTATAACAAGGGCCAACAAAAGAGCACCAACCAAAAAGCCAAGCATTTATATGTATGTATATATAACCGCATATAAAAACTAATGCACTGATCAAAAACCAAACGATGATATACTGTGGTGGAATTGTGGTGAAAAATCAAAATGTTGTGTGCATATGTGGAAGAGTATTAATGTTAAAATGCAAATTCTATAAACGAAAGTAAACGAAAACACATAGCAAGCAAATCAACAAATGAAGTCAGCAAGTGCAACAACAACAAATAAAAGAAAGAAAAAGAAACATATAAAGTAAAAAAAATAAAGTCATATATATGTTAGCAATAACAACAAAAACTTACACATAAAACCACAGTTGGTTTGTAGAAACATACGAAAAATTAGTAACCGTGGTCATGGCTGAAGGTGAAAGAATGTGTGAAGGTTGTTTAGTGAAACTAAGGCTATTGTGGAAAATAAGTATTATAAATTATTTTTTTTATTAACGATGTTAACGCTTAGCACAGCGCAACAGTGGTACTGCCGAACTCTGCCGAATATGCACAACAACAGCACAACAATACGCTGCATAAATATTAACCACAGTGCAGCAACAGTTAATAATGATGATAGCACAACCGCAAGTTGATGTTGAAATAATGTATATGCCAACGACCAGCAACGACATTGCAAGGTGAAAGTGAGACGCTGTAGTTGATGTTGACGTTGACGGTTACGTTATACGCTAACGTTAATAATGTTTATTACTGTATTTTGTTTTCAACCATTGGCAGTGGACTTGTTGAGTAAATGTAATGCAGTAGCAGCGCATTTAATGCCTACTTTTCGCCGCGTTTATGGGCGCACATAGGCAGCCACTATGTCATTTACAGGCTGGTATAGGCAAATCAATATAAAACTTTAAAATCAAAACAAAATTTAAAAATAGACTTTTTTTCATTTATGATAAGCCGCATACTTGCATTCAATCGTGCTTGAAAATTTTATATCAATCAAGTTGATAAACAAGAAGAAGAAGCAGAAGATTTTTCTGTATTCGGTTCATTGGAAAAATGTGTGGGCAGCGCGTGGTCTATGCATATTAATTAGAAGCAAAATTTAATGAAAAATGTAATGAATATTTATACATAATTTAAGCATTCATTATAAAATTAAAATCGAGCTATAAATTTTGCAAGAAATAGAAAGCGTTAAAAGTAATAGCTAGATGGTTGGCCTGACGTATGATTAATTTCTATCCATTTTTTTTTTTGCAAAATTTGCACATGAGAATTATAAGTCAAGAACAATTATGAAGACTCGAAACTCAAAATAATTATAAAAATTAGAGATTCTAATTTCTTGAAATTATGCAGATTGCATTAAGAAGGAAAAATTAGAACATTACAAGCCATGCCTATAAATATCATTTATTACATAATAATCGTCAATTACTAATAAACAATGAGTGAAGCGTGATTGTAACGCAGGAGATCTGCTTAACAGTGGACTCACTCTTTGAAGTGATGGTGCTCACTCTATATGTTCTCCGTTATTTCCATCCGTTACTTGACGGGTTGTCATGTTGTTTAACACAGACATACATAATTAATATGAGTCAACTTCTTTAGAATATTTTTCCTCAATTTTAATGTATCCTGCATTGTCTACAACCATTAATACTATACTTTTTATACTATAACACACACCATTAACACAAAATTAATATGAGGGAACAAATTTAATTTCATTTAAGTATCCTTCTTTAAGTTTAGAATCTTTCTTCATAATTTAATATTAAGTATTTATTAACCTCTATCATTTTTAACTATTAAAATTAATTTAATTTATTTTTGCTTTTTCCAGGGTGGTAGTACCTTACATGCGAAATTGGAAATATGGAAATTAGCCTACTTAGATAGCTATCAGAACAACATCTTACCACAACAACAACAAGTACATCATCAACAACAACATCAGTTACCACTTCAACAACAGTTACAGTTACAGTCCACAGAGAATAACAGTGTAATTGGCTCAACGCAATTATTACAATCAAATATTTGGAATATGGATTACAATATGAATATTGATGAAGAAAGCGAAGGTGAATATTCAAATTAAAATACAGAAATAGTACAATAGATTTTATAATTATAAATATTGAATTTTTAATAGATGAAGATGAAATTATTCCAACTACCAGCAATGGATTGCAAATGCCAACAACGACTAACAGTGGCACAACAGCAACAACTACAACAACAGGAACAACAGAAACGAAACGTAGTGGTGTGGTTGGTGGTCGCAGTGGCGGTTCACATATACATTTATGGCAATTTTTAAAAGAATTACTCTCTGAGCCACATATCAATGGTACTGCTATACGTTGGATAGATCGCAGTAAGGGCATTTTCAAAATTGAAGATTCAGTACGTGTAGCAAAATTATGGGGTAGACGCAAAAATCGGCCAGCTATGAATTATGATAAACTTTCACGTTCCATACGACAATACTATAAGAAAGGTATCATGAAGAAAACGGAAAGGTCACAGCGATTGGTATATCAATTTTGTCATCCTTATCACTTGCAATAGAAACAAGGAAGAGTAAATGATAAAAAGAATATAATTATTTATTTATTTATTTATTGAATTATTTATTAATTTATTTATTTATTGAGTTATATATTTATTAAATTATTTATTGAGATATTTATTAAATTATTTATTGATGCAAAAATTTATTTATTGAACTATTTATGAAAATTTTTTATTAATTTATTTACTTTAAAAAACATTAATTAAATTATTTATTGAAATATTTATTCAATTATTTATTAATGAAAATGTAAAATTGAGTTTTTTAAAAAACTATTTATTAAATTATTTGTGTAAGAAAATATTTATTAAATTATTTATGAAAAAAAAAAATTTAAATTATTTATTAAAGAAAAAACTTATTTATAATATAATTTTTATATTTATTTGTTGCTACAAATATGTGTAATTTATTTATTTATTTATTATGGCTTTGTAAGCTTTATTTGAAGCATATTTGAGAAGTGCTAAAGAGTGTCGCCATTTCTTTTATATATATATATAAATATACATATATATATATATATTAGAATTATTTATTAAAATATTAATTTATTTATTTATTTATTTATGCACATTTGTGTGAAAACATAAATTTTGATAAAAGATGAATACACTTTGTTATTGTAAACAATAACAAATGTTGTATTACTACTAATAACCAAATTATCTATGAAATTGGTATTATTATTTCAAAATTTTTAATTTCATTATTTTATTAATTTTTATATATAATCTGCTACAGACAATAAATTCCATACAATGTGTAAAAATGCAAATTTATATAAAATAATGAAAAATTAAATTCTTTGAAAAGTCGCCAAAAATAAAACTGTTAACAAATGCCATTCTTGAAAATATTTGAAAATAATATTATGAAAATAATATTTGTCAAAATATCATAAAAATATCTATGATATTTAAGTGTACGTTCTATGAACAGCCACAAACCTAGTTTTAAGTTTGAAATGGGTTTAGAGTGTAGTAATGAAATGCATTTAAAAATGTCGGTAATCTTTTGCAGTGAAGTAGGAGGTTTAAAACTGAGGTAGCCCAAAAGAGTTTTATTAAAAATATCTAAAAAACTTATATCACAAATTGATTGACTTTATTATAATTTGAGGCCTTGACAATTTTTTCATTTTAATTGTGAAAATTTTGCACTTGAAATTAAAAAATTATTGATGCAATTACCTGGTATTTTAATAAAACTCAAAAACAAATAGATCTTACGCCTTAGGAGTAAGTTTTGTATGAGATTTTTTTCTTGGTGTTCGGTATGTTAAGATTTGTTAATTAATTTATTTACTTAACTTTATTTATTTATTTATTTATTGTTCAATGAAATTATTATTTATTTATTTATTGAAATATAGTTTAAGGAAAAAAATTACCCCATTCCATGTATGTGCTCTTAGCAATATGGAAATGCAGATCGCTTCAATTTATTTATTTATTCACTTAAATATTTATTAAATAAAAGTTCAATTTAAAATATTTATTTATTTATTTATTTTTGTATAAATTTTTAAATTTATTAATATATTCATAAACCAATTTATAAATTTATACATTTATTAAAAAAACATCTCTTTGCGTTTATAAATATTTATAAATAAAATTTATTTATTTGTAAATTTGGATATTAGATTATCAGTTTATGAATTCATTAATTTTAAATTTATTTATTAATTAAATAATTTGTTATTATAATCGCAATTACATATTGTGAACCGTTCAACTTTGTCATATAATTGTAACATTTTACCTAAGAGAAATGATAAATTTGCTTCACTTTGTGCCTAAATAGTTTGTTAAGTAATTTATTTATTTATTTATTTATTAAACAAAAGAAAAATAATAATGAAAACATGAAGTCTATTTAATTATAAAAAAAAATTTATTTGAAAATGAAAGAAATCATATTTTTCATTACAATATTTATAAAAATACTTTTTGTAAAATAAATATTTATTATATAAAATGTTAAAAAAAATATATAATTCTTAATAGAGAAAGAAAAAACAATATTTACTTATACATAAATAATGACAATATTTATTTATTTATTTATTAAACAAATAAGTTTAACTTATTTTTAAAGTTAACTTATTTATTTAATAAATATATAATATATATATATTAATTTATTTATTTTTTTTTTATTATTTAAAAATACTTGTATCATGAAGAATTATTTATTTATTTTATAAATTAATTTTTCATTGAAATAACTAATGTAAATAATTTATGCATTTCAAAACAATAATTTTTAAAATAATTTTTATAAGCGATGAAAATAATTTATTTATTTAATAAAACTTAAGGAATATCTATTTATTTATTTATTTATTTATAGCAAATAAAAATATTTATTAAATATATTAAGACATATTAATTTTTTTAAAAAATGGGTTGAAATTGTAATATTAAGTGTGTTTCTTAAATCTTATTTATTGTGAAAAATAACTTGATAATATACTCAATTATTGTTTTAATAATTTTGTAATACATAATTTATTTATGCTTTCAAATTAAAATTTATTTATTTATTTATTGAATAAGTAATTTATTTATTTATTTATATATTTATATTTACGTTTTTTCTCAATGTTAAACATGTAACGTAAATTTTTTTTTAAATAAAATTATTTGAACATTATTGGTTGAGTTTTAATAATAAACATATTAGTAATATAATTATACAAATATAATATACAAACTACAAGTATAAGTTACCAATATTTTACCAGCAAGAAATTATCATAAAATTTGATATAGATATAGATGGACAGATTTTATGGCTTTATGTCCTCTATTTTGTTGAGGACATGAAGCAGTTGATAAGTACTGAAATCTGAGTTTAGCAAGACTATCATAGTGGCACAAAATGTGTTCTTCTTCGTGACAAAGTTTGCAGCTATCGCCCCTGGTAATACCTAGATTTGATAGATGTTTTTTGACTCCGCAATGTTCAGTGATAAACCCTGTAACAATTCAGATGCCTTTTCTGTTCAGCATAAGTAGCTCCCTAGTTCTGACTTTTGATAAATTTGGTATGGTTTCTTTGGCTTATCTGCAGGCAATCATATTATCCCAATCAGTCTTAGGCTGTACAACCGGATGAAGTACCGTCAAGCGAGTGTCAGGAGGTACTCGTCGATGCAAGTGATTTTGGCTGTGTGATAAAGGACGGTGACAGAGTAGTGCTTGCCGTGAGGCCTGCGCTTGTAGTTGTTGCAGTCACGTAAGAGCTTGCGTTCAAAAAGACGGATTCCTTCCGTATGTGAGTAGGGAACAAATGTGCTGTATATAGTAGAGCAACCAGCTTTGTAATTAAGCTGGTTGTGCCTTCGAAGGGCATTTTTTAGTTAAGTATGCATGAACCAAGCTTTGCGGATGGCATAGTCCAAGTGGGGAAGAAGTCGTGCTAAGGGGATAGCACAACACCAATGTACTTTAGCTTGATAACAAGCCGTATAGGGATAATACCAAGCTGTAGTTTAATAAGTTAGGCATCAAAGCGTCTGGGGCAATCTCACCTTTGTTTAGAAGAGCTATGGCAGTGATCTTGGTGGGGTTTAGCTTAATCTTTCACCTGGTGTAGTAGTCTAGGTGGATCCTAAGGTGAACATTCAGCTCATTAGAGATGCGGTAGGAATTTTATGATTGCATTAAGACTAAACAAATATTTTAAATATCATTTTATATAGTAGTTAAAAATATAAGTCCTAGTCTAGTTATACCATTTGTATTATAATATGTTTCCATGCCATTGACTAAAATTGCACAATTTAAATTTTTGCTTAAGAAGGAGCAAAATGATTACTTTTATTTACATGAACAATTTAATTTCATTTATTCTCGCATGTTAAGTGCAATCTGTAAAACCTTTCTAAGTTGAGAAAATATTTCAAATTAATTTACCTGAAACTTATATTTTTGTATATATTTAATCGAATGAATGCATTTAATCTTTTTGTGTTTTTTTCCCCCACAACTTTCCAATATTTTTCTTCTTACTAAACAAATTTTACTTTACCGAAATTTTCATTTGCTTTGTTCATATGCCATATATCCTTTTTTTCGAATTGCAATTCCAAAAGCACTTCAAAACTATTCAAAGGTTGCATGGATATTACTTGCAACGCAACCATGCAATTTGGTTGCACAATTCAATGTTGCATATTATTATGCAGAATTCAATTTTATTTAGTTTCGGTATTATCCTTTTTCAGTCTGCTGCAATCAATGTATTGGAAGTAAAAAAGCACTGAAAAGGATGCCAACAAAATTGCAAAAAACAAAATGGAAAAATGGAGGAAAAACATGAGAAAATATTTGTAAATATATTGTGTTTTTGTGTGAGAAAGGATTTGTCGATGGGAAATATTTGTTTGTACGTCGATATTGCTTTTCTCATAGATACTCATTGATAGTAAGTATATGTGGGTGGGTGTTGTGTGTGCGTGTGTTTACTTTCATGCCTTGACTCCGTATTTTCTTTATACATTTTTTAATGAATTGTCAATATAATGAAAAGGTAGAAAAGATTTTCAGCCAAGCAAAAATATTGAAAATATAGGATATTGCTGACTTTTTTATAAAAACTTGCACACACCTTTGAAGAAAAGGTAAGGGAATACAAATTGAAAACGCAGATATTAAATTTCGCTTAGATGCGAGTAAAATTTTACAGCTCAACAAAAATATTTAGTAATGAACTTGGAATTCCTATTCAGCTTGCAATGCGAATAGTATAGAAATAGATATACTGACAATAGAAATAAAAATAATTTAACATTTTCGTGTTTTAATAGTCTCAAAGGAGTTATACTGGGTGTTGGTGATCTAAGTGGAAAAATGCTCTTTGGCGCAAGAAAAATTAAAATAAAACAAAAAATATGTATATATATCCTAGCGGACCCAACAGACTTCGTTCTGTCAGAAAGATTTGGAATGTGGGAGTTTTTTGTTCCTACCTATTTTATAGTCGGGGCGAAAAAATCTCCTGAACAGAACAGTCACCCTGGTGTGTGGGGTTCAGCTCGGGTGACC